TGGCCACTACCACAGCCACGTCTCTAACAATGCCCGAGAAGCTCCAGGACATCTTGTGAACATTCAACAATACCATCAAAGGGCTGTGGAACATAGAACCTTTGCCATCACTGCCATTAGGGGTGTGGGTGACCATGTGGTCCTGTGGTGCTGAGGAACAAACACATAGATCTCACCAAGAGAGCAAGAGAGCTAAGGATCACACAGAAATCACTGGGACACGAGATCCCAGACTGGTTCTTGAACTGATAGATGGCAAGGATGGCACGTGCAGTCATGTCCCAGACAACGGTCTGGACAACAAGCTCCACAAGACTTGGACCAACCGAAGAAGATGCAGGGCCTCCAAGGGCTGTGTGCTTTCAGGAGGAAGCACACCTGGACCACTGGCCACTGTGGCTTGACCATGGACATGACCAAGCAATAAGACGAGAGGCTTTATCTATGAAAAATTTATTTATACACATTAAAATAACAACACCATAGGATTACAGCCTAGGAAAACATATGGGGCAGTTCTATTAGGTCCTGTAAGGTCACTGTGGGTCAGAATTGACTGGACAGCACACAACAACAGAGAGAGAGTTTAGCACACAGTGAGGGGGGTGTGTGTGTAGGGATATGAAGCACTCACTTGTCACACTTTGTGAGTTTCATCCGGGGCACATCAGCACATCTGTAGCCAATGTCTCCAATTATGCCTGTGAATGAGAGTTCACGTTCAAAGTTTCACCAAGAAGAACAGCCATTCTGGATCCATCCACCCTGCAATCAATGCCAAAGAAAACCAGAAACGGACAGGTGCAAGGCTCACCATAGGGGTAGGTGGTGAAGGCATTCAAAACGTGATGCTCACTCCACAACTACCACCCCGCTCCAGCTGACCCGTCCTTGGAATTCAGTCAAATATGCCACAATGGAATTAAAGATCTTCCATGTGATTTTCTGTTCCCACATTGTCTATAAAGTATTGCTTTTACAACAACAACATTTTATTAAAATAAAATCATGTATATTTGGTGTTGGAGAGCACTTCAAATCAAAATCTTCAGGAAGTTTCCTGGATTTGATATTGGACTCTGAGGTCCTGTAGGAGAGGTGCCAGTTTGGCTATTGAAGTTCCTGGTCCAGAGCCTGGGCTTGATGCATAGTAGTCCTGCCATCCTGGACAAGACTCCTGACATCAGTGGGGATTAATCCTGAAGGTGAGAGTCCCTGGAAGCAGATTGTAGGCCCCTCTCCCAGTTTCATTCAGCAGGTCTAGAGCTACCCCTGGAATATGATTTTAATAAGCACTGCGCATGACTCTAATAAAAGTGGTACCATGCTTTGAGAAGCCCTGTCCCCAACTGCTCAAATCTCTATTTAAAATTACTTTATTCCAGGAGGGGAGGGGGAGGGTGGGGGAGGAAAGGGGAACCTATCACAATGATCAATGTATAACTCTCCCCCCACCCCCTGCGGGGGACAAACAAAACAAAAGTGGGTAAAGGGAAGCAGAGGTTGATGTACGACATGAAATTTAAAAAAATAAATTATCAAGAGTTCATGAGGGAGGGAGGGAGGCAGAAAAATGAGGAGCTGATACCAAGGGCTCAAGTAGAAAGAAAATGTTTTGAAAATGATGATGGCAACAAATGTACAAATGTGCTTGACACAATGGATGGATGGGTGGATTGTGATAAGAGCTGTAAGAGCCCCCAATAAAATGATTTAAATAAAAGAAAAATTTAAAAATAACAGTAATTTATTGTGAGAAATTTCAAATATATATGAAACTAGAAAAAGTATATTGGACATCTGTATACCCATCACCCCTTTCAACAAAAAACCTTGTTTCAGCTATAGTCTCGTTCACTTTTCCAGAGTTTGAAAAATATTCTTGACATTAATCTATTTCATCCATAAGCACTTCAGTGTCTATAAAGGATAAGAATTTTAAAAGTAAACAACTCTAATACTACTGCCAATTTGAAAAATTAAATATTAATTCTTGTAATTATCCGATATCCAGACAGCATTAGAATATCTATCTGATTGCTTCATCACATTTAAAAAATAATTTGTTCAAACTAAGGCCTAAATTAAATCCATATATTACCATTGGTTACCTTGTCTCATGTTTCTTTTACTTTTTGGTTTCCCTCTCCATCTATTTTCCCTTTGCAATTTTTTGTTGTTGTTGGAAAAACAGGGTCATTCATTGTATGCAGATTTTCACAATCTGGGTATTGATAACCACATTTTTTGGTAATATTGTTTACTATGTTCTTCTGTCTCCTGTAATTCTTGAAAATGTAGATTATTTGGATCTAGTGGCTCAATCTGTTTGCAATGATTTTTGTGTGTGTGTGCAAGAATCTTTTTTATAATGAGGCATGTAACGTCTGGATCTCTCGTTAGCAGGCAATAACGATCATAACCTAGAGGATGCATTTATCATTAGGGTTTGTAAAAGTCAAGCCTCCCATTCTTCACTTTTAAACATAGGAACATTAATTACTGTCATTGGGCGGCAATAGGTTTGTTAATAAGATGTAATCAGATAATCACAGGTATTTGCTGAGCGCCTACTTTGCCTCAATGAGGCATAGTGGGCAATGCATTGGCTACTAACCCGAAAGTCAGCCTGGTTTGACCCCACCAGCCAACTTGAGGGAGAGAGAGGCGATCTGCTTCTGTGAAGATTTGAAGGCTTGGAAACCCAAAGGGGCAGATCAATTCTGTCCTATAGGGGTCACTATGAGTCAGAGATGGCTTGATAGTTTTTTGGTTGGTATTCTGAATCAGACACTGAACACGCTGGTCTATGGTAGTAGATACTATATTTTGCCCAGTAAACTCATAATAAAACTAGAATGCCAAGTAAGTTGACCAAGACCTAGCTCAGTGCTACAAATTGGTTGGGTTGGGACCCTAACTCAGGTCCATCCAACCATAAAGCATATAACCGGTTGTCGCTGACCGTTCAGAGTCATAGTGCCCCTACAAGACAGAATATGAGGGGGCTTCACAAGGTTTGTGGGGGAAATTCCATTATCTTTTCATTCCATTTCTCCACAAACTTCTTAAAGCCCCCTCCTAGAACTGCCCCATCCATAGGCCTTCCAAGGTTGTACTTTTTACGGAAGAGCCCGGATGGGTTATCTTGGACTCCTACCCACAAGGTCAGTTCCAGTTCACCAGCCACTCCATAGGACAAAGATGTGGCTCTCTACTCCTAGAAATAGCTAAACAAAACGCATTGCCTTCAAGTTAATTTCAACTCATAGCAACCCTATAGGACAGGATAGAACTGCCCCTGTGGGCTTCCAAGGCTGGCTGTAACTTTTTAAGAGACGCGAAAGCCTCATCTTCCTCCCAGAAGAGCGGATCGTGGTTTCAAACTGCTGACCTTGCAGTTAGCAGTCCGGCTAACAACCCAGGGCTCCTCTGTAAATAGTGATAGTCTTGGAAATTCACAGGGAAAGTTCTACTTTGTCCTATACGGTTGCTATGAATTGGAATCGAATCTACAGCAATGAGATTATTCTTTTTAATCTTTACGGAATGGAGTGCTTCATTTTTCTCCTTTAGAACTGCTGGTGGGATTGCAGTGCGTGGTTAGCAGCCAAGAACTTAACTACTGTGCTGTCTGGGCTTCTGTGAAGCTTGTGCTTCTCGCTATTGGAGCTACTCTCTGGGGGGACCTAGCAATTCCTCTCACAGGCACTTGCCCTAATCCATTGGTTGGTTGTTACCCAAACCAAATGCATTGCTGTCAAATCGATTCCGACTCATAGTCCCTTCAGGACAGGGTAGAACTGACTCTGGGCTTCCAAGACTAACCCTTACAGAAGTAGAAAGCCTCATTTTTCTCCCAAAGAACACCTGATGGGTTCGAACTGCTGACCTTGCAATTAGCAGTCCAACAGGCAACCCACCTCGTCACCAGGGCTCTTTGTTAGACACTATCCATTCTGTACCTCATTTAACCCTCTGCATTGTACTGTTATTGGTATTACTGGCCCCATGTCGCAAGTAAGGTTTTCCGTTTAGAAGCTGAGTAGTTAAGGAATATGCCCCCAAGGTCATACGGTCTTGGGGGCAAGGAAAGAAATGGCTTCTTTAAGGTGACCAGATTTTAACTTGGTAAAGCGGGACGTCGTTGATAAAACTCATCTCCTGGTGAAATAGCCACAAGGCAGCCGAAAACCGTATACCCTAGCTTGTCGTGCATTCTTTCCAAAAATCGGGACTTTTAAAAAACGCCGCGGGACGCGGGGAAAAATGGTTTAAAATCCCGCCCGTTTGGATTCCCAGCTCTGTAAATTAGGTTCCGAATGACAGCGCAAGGCCGGTGACGACTAGCTAGTGTCAAAGAAACGGAAGCGTGTATCGTCTCTGGCAGGGTGTGAGGGGCGTCGCTAGAGCAGACGCTGGGCCGCAATAAAAGATGAGCCGGTGGCGGGGTACCGGGGTACCGAGCTTCTCTCCGCGGCTGCGACCGAGGGTGGTGCGCATGCGCGGCGGCCTCGCGGCAGGGAGAGGCCCACAGCCTCTTTGAAAGGTCTTCCCGCCTCTAGGGGGCGCTCTGCGAGACTGACCGGCACCGGCACCGGCACCGGCACCGCGTTCCTCGGTTTCCCCCGTGCTCGGAATTGCAGGGTCCGGCGGGAAGCAGCACCTGCAGGTTAGAGGTTCCGGACCATGGGGGGCGGGGGAGCGGTGTGTGTGTGTGCGTGTGAGAAGCAAGGGTATGTGTGTGTGGGGGGGTGACCAGAAATTCGCGAACCACCCTCCCTACCCCTTGAGGCCCCGCGAGCACAGATGGGGTCTGGCTTGGGACCGGAAGCGAGGGGCGGTCCCCGCTGGAGGGCGGGGTTGGACGTGGGAGATCCGGCGGTGACGCGCCACTCCACTTCCCTTCCGGGTCTGCGTCCCATTCCACCTGCCCCCTTCCCCTCCCCCCCCCCCCCCCAGCTCCCTCCCTGGACCTTACCTTGGTGACCGGAGCCCCTCCCTGCAGGTGTGGCTTCCATGGAGCGCCTCCTGTCCCGCCTGTGCGGCACCAGCGTCGCGCGGCCGCTCCCGCTGTGGGAGGGGGACACAACGGGCCACTGCTTCACCCAGCTGGTGCTCAGCGCCCTGCCCCACGCGCTCCTCGCCGTGCTCAGCGCCTGTTACCTGAGCACTCCGAGGTGGGTAGCGACGAGCTCGAGGCATCTCGTGTCCAGCTGTGCTTTCCGGCCACCGCCGCAAGCCCTGTCTCCCCAGCAGTGTCACCAGACTGGGGTGGCTCCAGAGTAGCGCAAAGCTAGAAGACAGTGTGGGCTGTGTCCCTTCCCAGGCGTGCAGCTGGGCAAGTTACCCGTCTTCTCTGAGCCATGGGCACCAGAGAAGGCCTTTCCGTGTGCAACCCTGTGCCCGGCACACTTTCAAAGGCCTTCTGTGTGAGAGACACCCGGCAACAGGATGGTAGATTTTCAGGTGCTCAAAGGACAGCTGCCCTGAATGGGAGGCTATATTTGGTAAAAACAAAAATGATTTTTAACCAAACAGGGTGGTTTGTATTTAGGCTGAAGATTCCGTTTCTTAACACTTTCGTCCACGGAACCTCAGTGTTCTTGGGCTAAGAAACTCTTATGTAGACTCAACGGAAGCAGAGACAGTAGGTGGAAGAAAAAGTAAATCAGACTTAAGCCTTCCCCCGTTTAGGCGTGGTGCTCAACTCCTGTTGTATTTTTATTTCGTTCCTCTCTGACAACAGAGTGGTAAAGGTAGCCTCACTGGAGCTGCGGGAAGGGCAAGAGGGAAATCTAGTCTCTGGCCTTGGGCTTCCTAGCCCTGGTGGCACGTGGGTCAGGCTGCTAGCCGCAAAGTGAGCCGTCCAATCCCACCAGCCGCTCCTCAGGAGAGCGGGAGTCTGCTCCCATAAAGATGGACAGCCTTGGGAACTGTATAGGGTCCCTGTGAGTGAGTTGGAATCCACTCCTTGGCAGTGACAGAGATACCATAGGCTGCCGAATCTATGGAGAAGCTGTGGATAGGCTTGGTCTGGGGGGAATCCCGATTAGAAGTCCAGAAAGAGGTAGTCAACACAGACATGCACAGCCAGCTTAGGGCCGCGTCTTATTAACAATTGGCCAGTAGGACTCTGACATCTTGCCATCTCCAGAGTAGGCAAGAGAGACCAACGTGCATCAGTAGATGTTCTGTATCTCACGTCACTTATCAGAGCTTAACGTGTAGGAGGTGGAAACAAAAGACCTGGAGTCTCAGACAGGAAAGGCCCTCCTGGCCTTGTGCTCAAACTCCTCCCCTGTCCCGCTGGGGGAAATGGGATGTAGAGAGGGAACAGGTCCCGAAGCAGGTTGGTGACTGAGTTGGGGCCCGTATGCCTGACCCCACAGGCTCAATGTTGCTTCTCTCCCCACATTTCAGAAAGTAAAATCATTAGTCAACTTTGATTCCACTCAACCCTTCCATGTAATTGTCTTCAGCTGGACCATGAAGGAACCCCAAAGCATTTTAGTTGCTTTGCTAAACTCCTTCATCACTCAGCCTTGCCACCAAGGTGTGCAACAGACCTTCAGGGGGTTCAAGCGTTCTCTGCTGGAGATGTCTTCCTGCATCAGACCCTTGATGCAGACCAATCACTCCCTCTGGTACTTAGGTTTGCCTGCCAAGAAGAGACTGGCAACACCAAAGAAAAGGATTTTCTCCAGCTTAAGAAGTCGCAGGGTTGACCCACACCAGCCTCTACCAGGGTGGTGGAGACCCAGGGGAGAATAGTCTGACCTTTCATAAACTTGGGCGATGGTATCAGAGTATAGAAGCTGTATGTAAGTCAGACTTTTAACCATTCTGTAGGGCTTCAAGGGTTCCCTTAGTGGATAATCTTGTAAAAATAAACCGTCATGGACTGCGTGGTTATCTGCATGGAAACGTGTTTTCTTTTGTCTTCGTGTTCGATGCTGGGCAGGGTTGGGAGCTGACTCCCTCTTGGTAAGTGAGAGGTTGGAGGTGAGGAGTGGGCCGGGCCCCCAGTCCGCCATGCCATGCTTCCCTTTCTTTTCTCCCCTTCCTCCCCAGGAGCCCCGAGTACATCCGACCTTGCAGCCCAGGCTGGCGCCTCCGACTCACCACCTCCTTTCTGCTCTCCGCCTTCCCTCTGCTAGACCTCCTGCCAGCCGCCCTGCCACCAGGGGCTGGCCCAGGACCCATAGAGCTAGAGGTGTTGGCAGCGGGTGTGGCCACTGTGGCCTGGATCAGCCACAGCCTGGCCCTGCAAGCGCTGGCCCGTGCCCATCGTGGCTGCTCCCGAGGGCCCTTGGCCTTGGCACTGGCTGCGCTCCTGCCCACCCCAGCCCTGGTGCTGACCCTGCTGTGGCACTGCCAGCGGGGCACACTTCGCCCCCCCCTTCTCCCAGGACCCCTTGCCCGCCTATGCTTTCTCATCCTGCAGCTGACTGCCCTCTTAGCCTACGGACTGGGCTGGGTAGCTCCCGGGAGACGGCGGGAACCCTGGCCCGAGGAACCCCTCCTTTCTGAGGGTCAGGAGCCTGAGGTGGCTGAAGATGGGGAGAGCTGGCTGTCCCGCTTTTCCTACGCCTGGCTGGCCCCCCTGCTGGCCCGTGGGGCCCGGGGAGAGCTCCGGCAGCCCCAGGACACTTGCCGCCTCCCCTCCCGGCTACACCCCACTTACCTGGCCCGTGTCTTCTATGCACACTGGCAGGAGGGTGCCCGACTGTGGAGAGCCTTGTATGGGGCCTTTGGGCGGCGCTACCTGGCGCTTGGACTGCTGAAGCTGGTGGGAACCATGTTAGGCTTCTCTGGCCCCCTGCTGCTGTCCCTACTGGTGGGCTTCCTGGAGGAGAAGCAGGAGCCCCTGAGCCAGGGCCTGCTCTATGCCTTGGGGCTGTCCAGCGGGGCTGTGCTGGCAGCCTTACTGCAGAACCAGTATGGCTATGAGGTCCGGAAGGTCACGCTTCAGGCCCGCGGGGCCGTGCTGGACATCCTGTACCGGAAGGCACTGCACCTGGGGCCTCGGCGGCCTCCTGCTGGGGAGGCTCTGAACCTCCTGGGCACCGACTCTGAGCGGCTGCTCAACTTTGCCGGGAGCTTCCATGAGGCCTGGGGCCTGCCTCTGCAGCTGGCTATCACCCTCTACCTGCTGCACCAGCAGGTGGGCATAGCCTTCGTCGGCGGTCTGGCCCTGGCACTGCTGCTCGTGCCCGTGAACAAGGTGCTTGCCACACGCATCATGGGCAGCAACCAGGAGATGCTACAGCACAAAGATGCTCGGGTCAAGGTGAGGAGTAGCTGGGGCCCCCAGCAATGGGAACCCCACGCCCAGCAGCCCAGTCCCCAGGGCCCTCCCACGCGCACTGCCTGAGCCAGTGAGCAGAGGTTAGAAGTGAACCACTCAGCCTGGAGACAGAGATCTGGGTTCAAATCCAGGCCCTACCACTTACTGGTTCCGTCCCTCAGACCAATCATGAACCTTACCAGGGCCCCGTTTCCTCATCTGCAAAGCGGGGGTCATAGAGCTGGTCTCGAGTGGCTGTGGGGATCACATGAGCTAAGGCTTTGCACTGCGCCTGTCACCAAGAAAGTGCTGTCAATGTGCTACCTCCGCTGTTCTGAAGTGTTAGCTCAGGTGGACCCACAGCCCTCGGAGGTGGGGAGGGACCTCCGTGGGACCAGATGGGGTTTTAGCGACAGAGTTAGACACCCGTCTCCCACCTCTTTTTCCAAGGCACTGCCTCCCTGCCCCATGACTGTGCTGAGAGCTTAGGTGATCCCCCTGTCTTCTAAAGATGGATGGACTGTAGAGAAGGGAGTCAGCTACTTCCTGCTGGGCCCACTGTCGATGTTAGGGTGACTCAGTTCTGGGTTCAGCAGTGCTGGTCCCTTGGCAGAGGGCGTGGCAGTCCTGAGGCTACGCAGCACTGGTGCCAACCTCAGAGGGTCCCCCGACCAGTTTGTCCCCAAGTGGAGTATGTGGCATGGAAATTAGACTAGAAGATGCAACCCAAGGGTTGAGAGGGCCCGAGGGCAGAATTCCCAGAAAGGACTAATGCCAGAGGAGAAGTCAAAACGGGGATAAGGGGATACGGACTACCTAGAAGCGCAGTGCATTGACGTGCCTTGACAGAGACCTGCGCAGAGTGGACAGAGGAGAAGCCACCTGAGCAGTGGCTTCGCCTCACCTTGCTCCTCGTCCCTTGTCCCCAGCTGATGACGGAGTTGCTGAGTGGCATTCGGGTCATCAAGTTCTGTGGGTGGGAGCAGGCGCTGGGAACCCGGGTGGAGGCCTGCCGAGCTCGCGAGCTGGGCCGTCTGCGGGTCATCAAATACCTGGATGCGGCCTGTGTGTACCTGTGGGCGGCCCTGCCCGTCGTCATCTCCATCATCATCTTCCTCACGTACGTCCTCATGGGGCACCAGCTCACCGCCACTAAGGTGAGCACAGGGCCGGGGGCTGGGAAGAAACCGGAAGATGGGGAGGGAGACTGCAGTGGGGCAGGGTGGAGAGGCAGGTGGGCTCGGGCCCTGGGGTGCTGGCTAGGAGAGCGGGAGGACCCCTGACTGCCTCGTCCTTGTGCAACCAGAAGGGAATTCTCTCAAGGGACCTTCTCTTTCCACAACCTGCCCTCTGGGAAGGCATGCCTCTTCCCTCACCAATTTCCAGGGATTCCCAGCTGTGGAGGAGGTTCCCTTATCTTCATTCTGATGAATGGGGTGAGGTGAGGGGTGTGTGGGGACCCATGATCCAGGGCTGGGGCTGGCCAGAGCCAGATGTTGTTGCTATTTAGAAATTCTGAGGGGGGGTCTCAAAAGGAGCCCAGCCTGTGCGCTCATCACCTGAGGGGGTGGGAGTGGAAATAAATAAACAAATACATACATAAGATGCTACCTGGATTCCTGGAAAGACTGACCTGAAGTCTCTAGGGTTCTTGGAGTGACCACCTCTCGTCCAAGGATTGGCCGGTCTTCCTCTCAGTCTTGTCGCTGCTGTCTCCCTCACCCCTACCCCCTGCCCATCCACAGGTCCCTCTGATAGTTCACTGTCCTGGGCATTGGGTGATGCCCACACCACCCCTTCCACCCCACTTAGGTGTTCACGGCCCTGGCCTTGGTGCGCATGCTCATTCTGCCCCTCAACAACTTCCCGTGGGTGATCAATGGGCTCCTAGAGGCCAGAGTGTCCTTGGATCGGATCCAGCATTTCCTCGACCTTCCAAACCACAAACCTCAGGCTTATTACAGCCCAGGTAATGGGAAGGGAGAGGGCAGGGCCAGGCACGGGAGGAGGAGGGGCCGTTGGTGTCGTGGGCACTATGTAGAGATACTGCCGAGATGAGCCCAAGGCAGCAGGATCCAGGTACAGTCAAGAGGCCAGTTCCTGGGGGAGGGCCCGCCGACCAAGACTAAGGCCAAATTGGCTCTGAGCAGGTAGACATGGGGCAGATGAGCCAACAACGAGCCCAAACAGGTAGGTTGTGAGTGAAGAGCCCCAGTTGACTCGCCTCTTTCTTGTTCAGAACCCCCGACAGAGCCATCGGCGATATTGGAGCTGCGTGGAGCCCTGTTCTCTTGGGACCCGGTTGGAACCAGCCGGGAGACCTTCATCCATCACCTTGCAGTGAAGAAGGTTCGTTGGCCAGTTGACCTGGGAGAGTCTCCTGACTCGACTTCCATGACAGATGAACCAGGGCTGAGCCAATCGGAACAGCGGGCCCTGTGACTCTCATGGTCATTGGAGGCACTGAAGGGGAGGGGGCTGTGTTGGGGGCAGGGTCTAATTCCAAAGGAGGCTATGCCACATCTCTGGATCCCCTGCCGCCTTGGACACCTCATTCCGTGTAGTCACAACTCTCCCAGGCCCTAGACATCCAGCCAGCCCAGCCCAGCCCGGCCCGGCCCAGCCCAGCAGGCAGCCTTGCCTCTCCGTGTCCCTCCAAGGCTCCAGCCTTCAGAACACACCCCAGGGCATCTCCAGCATGGGGGGCCTGGGGGAGAAGCCCAGCAGGTCCTTCCAACAAAAGATTCCGCACTTGGGTTAGATCCTCCCCCCGGAGCCTGGGGAAGAGGACTCACACCCTGTGAGTCACAGCTCAGCTCAAAGAAGACCGTGAAAGGCTTAAGCATTCCTGTCTGGAAGGTGGCTCCTGTGCCCACCCCCACACACCTGAGCCCCCACCTCAGGGTCCTAGTCTTCCCTCTCCCCTGACCTCTGCCCAACCCCTTGCCCCACAGCTCAACCCAGCTTTCCCCAGTGCCGGCTGCCCTACCTCCACCGCATTTGGCTCACGTTTCTGGCTCAGGCCGGCAAACTGTTTTGTTTTGTTTTCTTCGTTGAGGCAAGACAAGGCTGGAATGTCTCAAAGGAATTTTACTAATGTATGCGTTTGGGGCTGGTTTTGGACGTCCGCCATAGAAACCCACTGGAGCTGGCTTAAGCAAACCAGACTTTATAATAAGGATCCAGTGGTATATAATAAGATCAGTTGTAGAACCTCAAGGCCTGAGCGCAGCCAGAGCCCGGAAGCAGCCCAGAACCAGGCCTCAACTCGCACGGACGGGCTCAGCAGTCTGTCTGCCTGCTCCCTTGTCTCCCGGCTCACCCGCCCTTGAGCAGATGCAACTGTAGGGTGCCCTTTGGATTGCAGGCTGCCACCAAAAGGAAAGGAACTACCCCTGGGGCTAGTCCCAGACCCCCAGGGAGGGCTCTCCTATTGGTCTGGTGCCCGCTCATAGAGGGTCGGCCTAGCTGGTGTGGTGAGGCATCACAGACAGACAGCTTCTGGGTTTCCCACCCTGCTTGTAGAGAAGGGCCAAGTATTTTTTTCAGGTGGGGATGGAAGTGACAACCAAGGACAATATTCAGACTGCAGAGCTCAAATTGGAGCAGCTGCCAAAGCCCTGCTATGAGCCATGGCACGGCCGGGCCTCCCTGGGCCAGCCCAGGGTCCCGGCTCCAAAGCCTCCATTCCTTGCCTCCCGTCTGTCCGTCTGCCCTGAGCTTGTCTTGGTGACTCTAGGTCATTCTCCTTCCCAGACTCCCCTCCACAGCTCACGTGCACGTGGACACTGGTCGGTTCTCTGTGGGGGGAGCAAAAAGCCCTGTTTCTTCAGAACTAGCAAGGCCTCAGTCCCCGGGACACAGCCCAGCCAGCAGCATCCCTGCAGACTGAGTGGGGCCCAGAGGGGAAGACCCAGAGCCGCTGGAGGGAGGCGGCCCTGCTCCACCCCTGTGAGCAGCAGGCACTTACTGATGTGCCTTCCTTGCAGGGCTTCCTGGTGGGCATCGTGGGGAAGGTGGGCAGCGGGAAGAGCTCACTGCTGGCCGCCATCGCTGGGGAACTCCACAGGTAATCTGCCTCCAGGGCGCCCCTTTAGCGAGCACTGACTGAGCCCCTCCCACATGGCAGGCACCCTTTGGGGGCAGGCAAGACAGAATCCTAACTGCTCCACCGAGTGTTGAGAGGTGTTGGGGAGGGGGGGGTTCCTTTCCTCTCACTTCCCCACACACTTTCTGAAACCCCCTCAGAGAACAAGAGCAAGGAAAGGAAACTGCAGCACCCAGCGCCAACTGGGTTTTTCTGCCCCCAGGGAACGGGGTGGTGAAAGGAAGGGAGCTTAGAGGGGTGGGGGGCTTTCACATCAGAGTGTGAGCATGCGTCTCCCCTGAGTCCACCCAGATTGACATCTGCTCAGCTTCTTGTTGTCATTGGGGGCCATCGAGGTGACCTTAGGTACAAGAAAACACAACACCACCCGCCTGCTGTCCCCACAATTGTCCTCATGTCTGAGCCCCTTTCTACAGCCTCTTTGTCAAATCCAGTGACCGCTAATGGTCACTGAACACGTAGGAGACAGCGTCTTGGGCGGCCACCCGGAGGCAGGGCTGAGAGAGAAGGGAATTGGTGGGGAGCTGACCCCCATACTCCTGGCCTCGTCCTCTGCAGGCTGGGTGGACACGTGGCAGTGCCAGGGCTGTCCAAGGGCTTTGGCCTGGCCACCCAGGAACCCTGGGTCCAGTTTGCCACCATCCGAGACAACATCCTCTTTGGGAAGACATTTGACGCCCAGCTGTATCGAACGGTGCTAGAGGCCTGCGCCCTCGGCGATGACCTGAACGTGAGTGGCTTGCCCCAAAACCTCTCTGCTCACCTGCTTCCCCAGGTGACCCTGGCCCCTCAGATCAGAGAGTTGCATCTGGGGGCCTGGGTTCCTCCCTGTCAGGCCTGGCCACTTGCCTTGCATCCTCCTAGAGGCCCAGCTGCTTGCCTGCCTTGTCTACCTGCCTTCCCAGAGGGCCTAGAGAGGGCGAGTGGCTGGGTGTCCCACCCAGCAGTTGGAAGAACCCTGTGGCTCCTGGGGCTAGGGGAGGCTCACTGTGAGGCTGAGCTCAACCCGGCCTTCCTATGCTTTCCACGCAGGAAGGCTAGGGAGAGCTGGTCTCCCTTGGTCACAGGTTGCGCCAGGGAAGCCAGACTAGCCCATTAGAACTTTCCCACGACTGCCCTTTGCCATCACTCTTCCCCACCCAGGGCTGCCATCGCCACCACCCTGCCCAGGCCAAGGAGAGCCTCTGATTCGACCATGGACAGCCCATGGCTGTTTCTCATTTGTCTCTGCCTCAAGCCGATCCCAAATGCCCCTCGGGTCCTAGGCACTTAAAAATAGATGACTCGTAAGGGGCTTCCCACGGGTGCTTACCATCCACGGACCGGAGGGTTTTATCTGGGCATAGCAAGGAAGGCTTGGAGACTACGTTTTCCTCTGAAGCCTGTGAAAACCCCTCCATTGAATTTTCCCATCAGCCTTGCCCAGGCAAGACAGAGTAGTAAGGCTGAGGACCCAGGCTTCAGTCTTGCCCTGTCCAGGCCATAGAAGCCTGGGCCAGGTTGTTGGCCTGTGTGAGGCATTGGCTTCTGTCTGTTAAAAGGAAATCACACCTCAAGCCTTCTTCAGGTTTCAGGAGCCCCGGGGGAACTGTGGGTGAGTTCAAACCCACCAGCAGCTCCCCAGGAGAGAGATGAGGCTCTCTGCGCCATCAGAGGACCCCTGGTGGTGTGTGTAGTGGTTACGCTGCTAACTGCAAGTTCATCAGTTGGAACCCACCGGCCTCTCCACAGGAGAAAGACAGGGCTTCACTCCCATGGAGAGCTAGTTAGTCGGTTCAAGGGCAGTGGGTGGGTGAGGTTGTTGGGGGACGGAATGAGATCACGGATGTAAGTGTTCAACAGATGCCAGCATCTGCTGGAATCGTGGCTTGTCTCCTTGTCTCCAGAGGCTCACCCAGGCCAATCCAAGTCCCATCGCCTGAAGCTCAAGGCTGTTTGGATTTCTGCCATGGCTTCTCTGCACAGTGGTAGGAAAGTGCTGGGGGACTCTGACCAATCCTCTTTGGGGGGCTGTCCCCTCAGATCCTGCCTGACGGAGACCAGACGGAAGTAGGGGAAAGGGGGGTGACCCTCAGTGGCGGGCAGCGGGCCCGGATTGCCCTAGCTCGTGCTGTCTACCAGGTAAGCTCAAGGTGAGCGTGGGCAGGGAGGTAGAGGAGCTGGCAGCCTCGGAGCTTAGCTGGAGGGGGGGTGCATAGGGACTTGCACAGTCAGTACCTGGTTTCTATGCCCCCTCGCCAAGCTCCTGAGGCATTAATGGGCCCCTTGGCAGTCCCCTTTCCCACCCTCACCCCTGCAGATCAGGCAGAATTTAAGGCCCAGTAGAGAGCATTCTGTGGTTTGAGGTCTTAAGACCCAGCACAGCTGAACATTAGCCCCCAGGCCCTGACCTTGACCGGAGAGAAGTCCACCCTCAGGTATAACCACCCTCTCTGCTGCTGCAGGGGTAGCTCCCAGAGATCCTCTCAACTGCTTCCTTTCTCTGACCATCTCGAGGACAATTCCGAGGAGAGTCTGGGGAGACGTGGACAGAGGACCCGGGCTCGGTGCCCACGTGTCCCCATCTTTCCCTAGGAAAAGGAGCTCTATCTCCTCGATGACCCTCTGGCCGCTGTAGATGCCGATGTGGCCAACCACCTGCTGCACAGGTGCATCCTGGGAGTCCTGAGCCACACCACGCGGCTGCTTTGCACCCACCGCACCGAGTACCTGGAGCAGGCTGACATCGTGCTGCTGATGGAGGCTGGGCACCTCGTCCGCACCGGTAACGTGGGCAGCCGGGGCGGGCGCCCAGCCCAGGAGAGGAAATACAATGAGAGGTGACAGGGAGGAGACAGATGCATTGTCAAGTGCAGACACAACCACCCCCTCCTGGTGTGGCCTGGGCCCGGTCATTGCCTCCTGGGAAACACCCCCACCCCCAACAACCTAACCAGAACTGAGGTGGGAAAATGGAGGCAGGGATAGCCCCTTGGGGGAATGCTGGTGGGTGGGGCACTGGGGACTGGAGGGTTTGGGACTGAGCACTCTGCTTACGGGAGAGAGAGCGCTGAGAATGTGGGGACTTGGGAAGAGAAGGCAGTCAGAGCTACGGGAGCCCTTTGTACGAGAAAGAAAGACGAGACTGAAGAGTGGTTACTCAGAGAGCTTCCGTCATCCCCGGTTGTGGGGAGCAACTGGGAGACGGTGGCTGTTAGGGGGCGTGAAGGCCTGGTGGTGCTGTGGTTAAGGCCCGGGGCCGCTAACTGAGTCAGACCCCACCAGCCACTCCCTGGGGCTCTCCTCCCATGAAGATGGCGGCCTAGGGCATTCTCTGGGGCAGCCCCACTCTGTATGAGTCCGAGTGGCACCACCACCACCACAAGTGGTGACTGGCTGGTACCTGAGACTCCCCCTTCAGGGACAAGCATGTGTCTCTGTGTGCTGGTGGGACCCCAGGTGCAGAGGAATGGGCGGGAACCCTGTGCAGAGGCCCGGGTCCACGAGGATGGCCTGGGGAGGAGGTCCAAAGGCAGTCTGCGCAGGTACTTAGAGAGGCATGTTCTATGCTCAGAACAGCCCCGCCATGCTTCCCCTGCTGCCTTGCAGGACCGCCCTCTGAGATTCTGCCATTGGTGCAAGCTGTCCCCAGAGCCCGGCCTGAGGAGGGGCAGACATCGGACTCAGGTGTGGCCCAGGGTGCGGGAGGAAAGGACTCGCTCCCTCACCATCAAACCACAGAGAAAGGTTTGCTACCGACCTTGCTCACCTCCCTGAAAACAGGGAGGCTTCCAACTGTTGACCTGCAGGTTTAATGCTTCTCTGTCTGCTCCCCCCCCCCCAAATTCTCACAGCCCCAGGCCAGTCTGTGTGGGACCCAGAGAAGGCAAAGGCGGGGCCCGTGGTGGAGGAGAGTGCTCCCAGCCGCCTGCTGCAGGAGGAGAGCAAGAAGGAAGGGACCGTGGCCTTCCACGTGTACAGGGCATACTGGAGGGCCGTGGGCTGGGGCCTGGCCCTGGCCATCCTCCTTTCGCTGCTGCTCATGCAAGGTGGGCGTGTACCCCGGGGACCATGCTCCCAGCCCAGCCATATCCTCGGGGTGCCCCCAATGCCATCACTGGGTACTAACGAGCATCCCAGGGCTGCGCTGCAGAAGGTGCAGAGAGCCCCCAAACTGAGACTCACCATGCATGGGTGACAGCCGGGACATGCCCTCAGATCTGGGGAGGGTCCCCCCAGTCCCCACCCCCCTCCAGGCTGGTTCCCAGTCTGCAAACCCAATAGCATGCTTCCCCCCAGAGCTGAGGCCGGTGGGCCCAAGAAGGATGTGCACCCCAGGGGGGACGTGAGAACTCAGCCAGGTGTAGGGGTGGGCCAGGGGCGTGAAGAGGGCTAGGAACCAGAGACGCCCAGGAAGGACGGAGCAGGAGCCCACACCATTTCTCCTACCCGCCCCCAGGCACACGGAATGCTGCGGACTGGTGGCTCTCCCACTGGGTCTCTCAACTGCAGGCAGCCAGGAATAGCTCCCAGGAGGCGCCAGCCCCCAGCAGCCCGGGCTCCTCGGGGCTCATCTCCCCACAGCTGCTCCTCTTCTCACCCGGGAGCCTCTAGTGAGTGGCTGAGCTGCTCTCAGAGGGGCTGCAGGCTGGGAGTGTGGTATGGGGGCCGGTGGCGCCCGGGGCTGTGTCACCAGCGTGGAAAGCGATGGCACAGGGTGGGGAAGGGACCCCTGAGTGGCCCTCCTTTTGGTTACCTACAGCCCCCTCCCCACCACCCAGCGCCCCAGTGCCCCCGCTGTTCCAAGCTGCCCCCAATGGCTCCTCCGACGTCCGTTTCTACCTTACCGTCTATGCGACCATTGCCGGCATCAACTCCCTCTGCACCCTGCTCCGGGCAGTGCTCTTTGCCGCGGGCACCCTGCGGGCAGCTGCCACCCTGCACCGCCGCCTGCTGCACCGAGTCCTTAGGGTGAGTGGATGGGGGGGGGGGCGGGTGGAGAAGCACAGCCCTAGCCACGTGCGCTGTCCACGGGGGCTCCATGGGGGACCCTGTCCAACATCTCCTTCCAGGGACAAACCCGCTCCTCACCAAGGGATATAGTTCTTGATGCTCTCCAAGGCCTGGCGAGGCCCAGTTTGGAACAGTCTCCCACCCAGTTCCTTCAGCCTGGGTGGCTTCCTCAGTCGTGCAATGGGGAGAACAGGAGAATTGTGTCCGAGCTATTTAGCTCTCAACTTGGGCTGCAGAGGGCTGAGTCAATCAGCTCCCGGGCTCATGCAAGGCCGTGTTCGCTGTACTTCTGCAGCCGAGGTTCGAGTCCTGGACTGAGAGCCTCAAGCGCAGCTCTCAGTGGAGGCTGTGTGCTGCTGGGACGCTGAGCTGTAGGTTAGGTGGAGCTTCCAGACTGAGACAGACTAGGGAGAAAGGCCGGTGATCGACTTTGGAAACACCAGCCACTGAAAACCAGAGGAACTGTGGTTCCATCAGGTTGTGCATGCAGTGGCTGTGAGTCGCAGTGACTCAATGGCAGCTCTGTGTGTGTGTGTGTGTGTGTGTGTGTGTGTGTGTGTTCCCATTTCCCCTCCCCTCTTTGGTTCACAGCATTCTTTATGTTCCCACATGTATCAGTTTGAGTTTTTGCAACAAGCCTACGCTTTGTGTGCTGGTATTTTTCACTTACATAAGGGAAGACAGTGTTGGATCTTACCCTCTTTCTGAATGTTTCTATTGAGGACTGCTTCTGAGATCTGTCCTCCTCACCCGTATGTCACCTGTTCCTTCCTCCGGGGGCTTATCACGATGATGAAATTACTATGCAGAGCGTCCTTAGGGCTACGTACAAGCCCCTAGTACTTAGTTTGGATGGCACCAGAAACCAAACTCACTGCCGTTGAGTTGCTGCCGACCCTCTAGGACAGGCGAGAACTGCCCCTGTGGATTTCCAAGATGGTAACTCTTTACAGGAGTAGAAAGCCTCATCTTTTCTCCCACAGAGTGGCTAGTGGTTTTGAACTGCTGACCTTGCAGTTAGCAGCCCATCATGGAACCACATAGTAGGAACTTGGGTAGCTATTATTATTCATGTTGCAGCTTTTGTTATTATAAAGCCCTTTCTCATCCACTAGCATATCAGGGCCTTACTACAGTCCTGTGAGGTGTATTGCTGCCATTTTACAAGTGAGGAAACACAGGCTCAGGGCTTGGGTGAGCTGGCCAAGGTCAGGCAGTTGTGCGGCCTGAAGGGGTTCCTTTGTTCATAAGCTGGCAAGAGAGGTGCTCCCGAAAGCCACCCTGCCTCGTCCCCGGCCTGAGACACGCCTGGCCCCAAAGTAACGACAGACAGTGAAGGGCAGCATGGGCAAAGGGAGGAGGGGAAATGAGCTCCCTTTGCCACTGGACTTCCCAGAGGGGGTCCCAGCCAGGGAGCAGCTGCCGGGCACTTCTCCTCCAGGCCAGGCAGCCTAGGCCTGGCATTTGACTGCTGCTTCTGTGGCCCCCTCTCCTCCCCAAAGCCTGCACGGTGAGGTGAGGGATCCCCTCCAGACTCCTTTTTCAGACGAGGCCCTTGGAGAGTTGAAGCCCCAGGCTGGGTGGGGGGTGGGAGGTGGGGTGGTGGCTCACACGTAAGAAGTGGTGGAGCTGGAAGCCCAACTTCAGCCATCTCTGGCTCCCAGAGTCTTCCCCGGGAGATCTGGCTGGGCGTGACTGCCACCCTCAGCAGCTCCGACATCCCCTTCACCTAGAGCATGAGCCCCCTGCCCTGGAAAGGACAGGAGGCCTGTGTGGCCCAGGGGCAGAGAAATGGGCTGTCATGGGGGTCCCCACTGGCCAGTGGGTGGGACATTCTACCTCCAAGCTCTGCCAGTCCCTCCTCTCTGTCCCCAAGCCCTGGGGACACCAACCCTTTCCTGTGCTCTGCCTTGGCCCTCCCTTCCTGTCCTATTCCACCACCACCCCCTGCCCCCCAGGGATGCCCACCAAGCCCCTGCCTGCCCACATGCCCTCTCCCAGGCTCCAGTGACGTTCTTCGACTCCACCCCCACGGGCCGGGTCCTGAACCGCTTCTCCTCCGACGTGGCCTGCGCAGACGACAGCCTGCCCTTCCTCCTCAACATCCTCCTGGCCAACTCGGTGGGGCTTCTGGGACTGCTCGCTGTGCTGGCCTCGGGCCTGCCCTGGCTGCTGCTGCTGCTGCCGCCCCTGAGCCTCGTGTACTACCACGTGCAGCGCCACTACAGGGCCTCCTCGAGGGAGCTGCGGCGCTTGGCCAGCCTCACCCTGTCCCCTCTCTATACCCACCTGGCCGATACCTTGGCTGGCCTCTCTGTTATCCGTGCCGCAGGGGCCGCCTCCAGGTGGGTGAGGGCTGCCTATCCCAGCCAGGGCCCTCAGGGATGGGTGCTGGGAGGAGAGTTGCTGAGGGCAGGTGTGGAGTGGGGGTGGAGAGACCCGGTGGGAGAAGGGAAGGTTTGGGGATACTTGGGAGAAAGGTGGGGCCAGCCAGGGCAAAAGGGCTTCGCTGGGCAGGGCAGACCCCACCATGAAGAGCACGTTGGCAGCTCTGGGTGCCATATTTGGACTGGGCAGTGGGGCAGTGGAATGGTCTCACACCCCTCCTGGTCTCCCCAGGTTTGAGCAGGAGAACCAGCACCTCCTGGAGCTGAACCAGAGGTGCCAGTTTGCTGCCAGCGCCGCGATGCAGTGGCTGGACATCCGGCTGCAGCTCATGGGGGCCGCCGTGATCAGCGCCATCGCAGGCATCGCCCTGGTGCAGCACCAGCAGGGCCTCACCAGCCCAGGTGCCCGCCAGACCCTTTCTCCCACAGTTACCCCAACCCCAACTGTCTCCGGGTATTGCCCCTGTCCCCCACATCTTTCCCTCCCACCCAGGGCATCCTGTGAGCATGGTGTCCTTAGCCTCATCATCCTCCGCCTCGTTTTAGAGTTTGAGAAACCGAGTCTGCATCCCTGACCTGCTCCCAGTAGGAATAGGGCTGGCCTCACCTGCCATCCCTCATAGCTGCCCCTAGCCCACTCTGCTGGCCTGCACCTAGCCCTGTGGTCATCGCTACTGCCTTTCTTCCAGTGCCCACTGTCCACCTGCCCCGTCCTTCCTCCCTCCACCCACAGGTACACACCAGTGTCCACCCCTTCCCTAGCGCTAGGCTCTTCTCCCCAGGTCTGGTGGGCCTGTCACTGTCATATGCCCTGTCGCTGACCGGCCTGCTGTCCGGCCTGGTGAGCAGCTTCACCCAGACGGAGGCCATGCTGGTGAGTGTGGAGCGGCTGGAGGAGTACTCCTGCGACCTGCCCCAGGAGCCTCACGGCCACTCCCTGCAGGTAGGCCTGCACCCCTGTCCAGACCCTCCCCAGCCCAGAGTTCTGGGACCTTAAAAGGTCCCTTGAAGTCCCCCATCTCTGCCCGAGTTGCCCACCTTCCTCTTGTCTGTCTTCGTGCATGGCCCCCCGTCATTCTGCACTGCCCCTGCCCCTGCCCCCCTCCCCATCCATGTCCTCCTCTCCTCCCTATTCCCCTGCCCCTCTCACCTGTCTCTCTGTCTCCCACCCATGGCTCCACCAGCTGGGCATCGGCTGGCTGACCCAGGGGAGTGTGGAGTTCCAGGAGGTGGTGCTGACCTACCGGCCAGGGCTGCCCAATGCCCTGGACGGGGTGACCTTCCGCGTGCAGCCCGGAGAGAAGCTGGGCATCGTGGGTCGCACGGGCTCCGGCAAGTCCTCCCTTTTGTTGGTGCTCTTCCGCCTGCTGGAGCCCAGTGCCGGCCGAGTGCTGCTGGACGGCGTGGACGCCAGCCAGCTGGAGCTGGCTGAGCTCAGGTCTGGGGAGGCGGACACAGACTTGGGCTACCAGGCTCGATGTCAGGGGGTGGGGGGTGCTGAGAGGGAGGTGAGATGAGCAGATGAGGTCACCATCCTCCTACTCAGGGCCACATTCCCAGCATGGCGTTGGGGGGGGTTGTCTCTTGTGTACTTCCCACCCTCCCCCAGACCCACAGGCATTGCTTTCAAGAGCCTTCACACTGTGCCCCAAGATACTGAACCCCCCACCCACCACCAGCTTTCAGGAGTGGCAGGCACAGCTTAGGGCAGCTTGACACCTGGGGGAACAGCTTCATCTGGGAGGATCCGCCCCCTCCCCAGGGGAACGGGGTCTCATTTTCTCTGATGTCCAGGACGTCTGTGAGAGGGTGACTGTCCTCACACCCTGAGCATGTGACCCCCGCGCCAGGCCCTGCGGCCCTCCCTTCTGGTCTCCCCTTGGGGGCCCGAGGCTGTGCCCTGCAGCTCTGGAAGCATCTGACAGCTCAGGCCCTTCTTCATTTTGCACATACCTCTTGGAGGCGTGAGCTTCCTGAGGACAGGAGCCGGGCCCTTCCTCTCCTTGGGGCGGCCCGTGGCTCCTTGTGGCTCTGGGTAAAGGGCAAGCTACTCATCTCTCCGGGGGTGGTGAGAGGGAGAGCCCAGCGACACCTGCTCAGGACTTGGCTCCCAGCGTTTCAGGAGACCCTGGCCCCTTCCCTGAGAGTGTGGGCTAGAGCAGGGTGCCCACACCTGCAGCCTGGTCCCCATGCCCTGCCCTCTCCTCACTCCTAGGTCCCAGCTGGCCATCATTCCCCAGGAGCCCTTTTTGTTCAGTGGGACCATTCGTGAGAACCTGGACCCCCGGGGCCTGCAGGAGGACAGGGCCCTGTGGCTGGCCCTGGAGCAGTGCCACCTGAGAGAGGTGGTTGAGTCCATGGGTGAGTACTAGGCCCCGCTCCGCAGGGAGGGTGGGTGTGGGAGTTGGGCTGGGGGCTGGTCCTGATGGAGAGGGGGGCCCTGTGAGAGGCCTGAGACTTTTGGAGTAAAGAGGCTCCTCCCGCAGGGGGTCTGGACTGCGAGCTGAGTGAAGGGGGCCGGAGCTTGTCCCTGGGGCAGAGGCAGCTGGTGTGTCTGGCCCGGGCTCTCCTCACAGATGCCAAGGTAAGGCCAACGGGAGGGACAGTCCACAAGTCCAGGGGGCAGGCGCCGGTTGGGAAAGGCTTCGGGACCCTAATTAGAGAAGATGCGGAGCCCTGGGTCTCTTTCCCATGACAGCCGAGGTGGGGCTGGTGCCTGAATCGGAACCCAGGCTTCCCTCCCCTGCCTCCTGCCCAGGTCCTGTGTATTGATGAGGCCACGGCCAGCGTGGACCAGAAGACGGACCAGCTGCTCCAGCAGACCATCCGCACCCGCTTTGCCAGCAAGACCGTGCTGACCATCGCCCACAGGTGATCAAGCACCCCAGGGACACCTGTCCCTTCCGCCCCTCTGCAGCTCCTCACCCTCTAGCCCTGGCCTCGGCATCGCAGGCCTGGGCCCTTCATAGCACATTATTTGAGGGATGCGTGCTTCCAGGAGAAGGGGCTTCTCCCTGAGGGCACTGTCCCGAGCCCCGATATCCCACACTGACCCCCTCCCTTCTCCCACACAGGCTCAATACGATCATGAACTCAGACCGGGTACTGGTGCTGCAAGCAGGCCGGGTCGTGGAGCTGGACTCCCCTGCTACCCTGTGCAGCCAGCCCCGCTCGCTCTTCCAGCAGCTGGTGCAGAGCAGCCAGCAGGGAGCCCCGTCCTCCACCTGAGGGCCTGGGTCTCCCCTCCGTCTACTGCAGCCACTGGGCCGGCCCAGAGGCCGAGACCACTGAGAGCTCCCTCACCTCCTTCAGCAGGGAGGCAAGGCACCCAGACACCACTCCTCCCAGGTGGGTGGGTCCCAGAGACGCCTCCAGCACTAGGCTTCTGGGTCTCTCGCATCTGGGACTGCAGGCAGCCATTCTGGGGCTCGGAGCCCACTGGCATGTTCATAGTTTTATTTGATAAAATTCCCATCTTACATTCTGTGTATTAAAAAAATAGTATTTCTGGTGTGAGGCTGAGATCCCTCCGCGTGTGTACCCCAGGGGAGGGTAATGAGAAAGGATGACAGCAGTCCGAGGTGTGGAGACGGTGAAGATAGGGGCCCGCAAGCCCCCCACCTCCATCACAGCGCTGTGGTCTTTCCGGGCTCACAAGGCAGGTCGGGCGGCAGGGGGCCACCAGCAGGCAGCATGCTGACCTGACACTCCTGGTCCTGGCGTGCCAGGGCATAGTGCGGAGTCGGGTAGCAGCAGGGTCCAGGGGGGCGCACACCCCGGCGCCAAGCCCTCAGGGTCAGCAGCCCAGTGGCCAGGACCAGGGCGGCAGTAAGGACCCCAAACACCACCAGGGCCACCAGGCTAGACTCGGCCAGGCCCGCCTCCTGCCTGCGCTCCACCTCCTTCACGGAGATCCGCAGCAGGCCAGCCCCCATGCTGTCTGGGGCTGGCATGGTGGCGGGTACCGGCACAGCTGAAGTGGGCCGTGGGGGCATGTCCGCCGTGCTGAGAGGGCCTGGGACTGGCAGGACAAGCTCACAAGTCTTGCCGCCGTAGCCACTGGGGCAGAGACAGTCAAAGTCGTGGACACGGTCCCGGCAGCGGGCCCCTCTCTGGCACGGGCGGCTGGCACAGTCGTCCAGGTTGATGGTGCAGAAGCGCCCTGCAAAGCCCTCGGGGCAGAGGCAGGAGAAGCGGTTGATGCCGTCCAGGCAGGTGGCGCCGTTGGCACAAGGCCGCATCAGGCAGTCGTCAACATTCACCTCGCAGCGGGCACCCACAAACCCTGCCAGGCAGCGGCACGTGAAGTTCAGAGCAAAGCCCTGGTTGTCCTGGCACTGCCCGCCATTCCGGCATGGGGAGCTGGAGGGAGGGAGGACGGGCGAGGGAGGGAGGATGTGGAGACCATCTTACACATGGGCTGTAGCCTCCTGACCACTGCCATCCCTCCCCCACTTTCTAGCCATGTCACCTTGGGCTGCCCTCTCTAAAAAGATGACCTGGCTTACCAAGTCGGAAGGGCTCAATAAGATCACCTCGTGCACAGGCTCCGAGACACTCGGGCCTGCAGAGGAAGCCAGGGCAGCAGTCCAGCCTCTACTTGCCCGTTTCCTCTTCGGTACAATTAGGCCTCCCCAGACGGCTGTGTGCAACAGCTTTAGGGGCTAGCTGCCAGCCTTCGTGGGAGGATGAGGGGAGCCCTAGCCCCTCAGCTCCTCCACATCCACCTTCCCCAACCAGAGCAGCGGCATCTTCACCCGTGTATACCTCCAGCGCCTAGAGTTACTGGTTGTGTTGGTTTGGGGCTTCAGAAATGGTTTCAGGAGGCACACACACACAAAAGCCTGGCCATTGTGGCGGGAGTTTTTTTCCCCCCTAGGGTGTCCATGCGGGTCTTCTGACTCGGCCACCATACCCTCATAGCCCCTCCCTCTCACCTGTGTCATCAGACCCAGATCTGACCCCCCTCCACCCCCGGGCCCCAGCACTCACCCTGCCTGATCACAGGGCCCAGCCTTGCGCTCACAGTCTCTCCCGTGGAAGCCTGGTGGGCACACGCAGTGAAACTCACCGCCCCCGTCGTACACACACTGGCCTCCGTTCCGGCAGGGGGGGTGCATGGCACAGATATGCTCATCTAGAGAGGAGACATGGCACGCTCTGGGCTCTCGGACCACAGGCTCCATGGGTGTGGTGTCAACTATCAGCTGTTTCTCCCAAAGGAAGAAGAGCCCCACCAAATTTGCAGCCGGGTGCTCCCTAGCCCTTGCTCTGCCCATCTGTCTCGCAGCACCCCAGAGAGCCCCAACTTCTCCCTCGCCGGCGATCATCGATTGCAGCTGCCTTGCCAACCGCACAGGCTTCCCAGGAAGATCGATGCAGGCTATCGATCGATGTGTGTAAGACGGAAATTAGACACTGCCCTGTACTTGAGGGCTTACACAGGACAACATGGGTGCTCAGTAAATTTAAAGGGATGTTCTCTCCAAATACATGGGGTCCCCAGCCCGAAATCCACCGCTGGTCCCCCTACCTTTGTCACAGAACTTGCCTGCCCAGCCACTGTGGCAAATGCACTGCCAGGGCTGGTGGCAGGATCCGTGCTGGCAGCCAGGCATCTTCACGCAGCGCTCACAGTGCAGCCCCTCCCAGCCCGGGTCACACCTGACAGGGAGAAGCACGGGCTCAGGAGACGTGGGGGAAAGGAAGGAGGCAGGCCCGGGGCAGAAATCAGAAGCAGGTAACATAGCCTGAGCCCTGGTTCTGCAGTGGTTTGGCTGCTAACTAAATGGGCCGTGGCTGCAAGGTCTCCTGCTGTCCCACGGGAGAAGAGATCTGCTCCCGTAAATAGTACAGCCTGGAAGCCCGGATAGGGCAAGTCTACTCCGTCATCTGTAGGGTCTCTATGGATCAGAACGGACAGCACACCACAGCAGGCCAAAGGTGACACAGTGGTTAAAAGCTCACCTGCGAATCGAAAGGCTGAAGGTTCACAGCCCCCAGTAGTAGTAGCCCGGAGGGAGAAAAACCTGGACCTGCTCCCATAAAGATCCTAGCTTAGGGAGCCCTGGGGGTCAGTTCCCTACCATGTGGGGCAGCTGTGAGTTGACACTGTTGTGTGACACTCAATAAGGGGAAGGAGTCCTATCCCAAGTAGGTAAAGGGGCACACTGAAGTCAGACCTTAAGACCCCAGCCTTCATGTCCTGTGGAAGCTTCCTGAGCATCAGTTCCCCCTCTGTAAATCAGAGATACAGCCCTCAGAGGGTGGGATTAAGGAAGAGACGATGGTGCCAAAGTCTGTAAATGTCTCCAGTACCACTAATGGGATCTCACAAACTTTTTTTAAAGTGACCTTGAAAGGTCATCACCAGGCCCATCCTACCTCTGACTCTAGTCTAGAGTAAATACCTGACCTGTATATCAAAGATCTTCCTAGGATGAAGATTCCCAAGCACCCCCAGGCCCCTGAGCAACCGCCCTCTCCCTGTCAGCTCATTTCCTCATGTTCAGAAACCCAGAAACACGCTCCTCTCCCTACAGAACACCCCGGCCAACCCCACGCCTGGGCGTCAAGGAGTCAGTCAGCAAAGAAAGCCCTCCTTTCTTCTGTATGCTTCTCCCCTGCAACCCTGCCTGCAGGGTTTGTTCCCAAGGTTGAACGAACCATTTCTTCTCGTTAGCTTCTCCTTTCTGCATGCTCACTGCCCCCCCCAAAAAAAACCCCCAAAACCTAGCCCTGTCTTTTCGAGACTTGGGTCATAAGGTCCTGGTGTCTTGAGGTCACATGTTTCAATCCCCCCTCCCCACACTCACACTCACACTTAGAAATAAAGAAGTAAGATAGAAGCTGGAAGAAGCCAAGGAGAAACCGGGAAAACCCGGGGCAAGCACCGGGCTGGGAGTTCTGACCCATCTCCCCTGTGTGCTATAAGAGCTCCACCGTGGACAATTGACAGAAGCGCCCACACGCTGCCCAGGGACTTGGCCCGATTGTAGCTGGGGAGAGGTGGGGCACGTCGTTACCTGCAGGAGCCGTCAGGCGCGCAGCAGCCATGGGCCAGGTCACAGTGGGAGCTGCAGTCATCGGCTGCAAGAGATCCGCGAGAGAGGGTGAGCCGCCGGTCAGCGTCCGGGTCGTGGAACTCAGGGGGAGGAGGTGGGGCCCCAGTAATGAGGCGAGGCAGGGCAGTACCCAGGCCCATCTCATTCTGAAGGAGCGACCTGGCTCTCGCCAGCCCCGCGGGTCGGAGCGGCTGCAGTGCCGTCTCTGGCCGGCAGAGGACAACGTGCAAACGCGGGATGACCGGACGCATAGGGCCGCGGCCCCGTGCCCGGGCGCGCTCACCTCGGGCTGGCTGACCGGGTGTCCCCAGGATGCACAGCAGACACACGAGATGTAGGCAGCAGCAGCCGCTGGGCATGATCAGCGCCGACCCCAGGAGGGACGGGCAGATGGCTGGCTGGACGGACGGACGCACACCTGTGGGACGGCGTTGGCTGGGAGACAGCCAGACGTGGAGACAGCGGCACGGATTCGGGTCCCGAGTGACCAGAGCCGACGGCGGACGATAGGCGTCCCTACAGAAGAAGGGAGTGGGGGCAGCGAGAGGGAGGGGGCGGGGAAGGGTTGAACTGGCGAGGCTTGCAGGCAGGAACCCGAGAGCGAGGTCTGTAGGGAGAGGCGAAATGTTGGCTGCGCGAGGGCGCAGGGAAGGGCCAGGAGTAGGGGTGCGGTCAGGGGCTGGGGGCGCGCTCGGAGATGTGGACCGAGCCGAGAGGCGGCCTAGAGCGCGGCGGGGACACGGGGGCCGCGGGGAGGGGCCGATCCCAGCAGCGAGCAGTCTCCACCCCCCACCTCCAGG